TTGACCTTTACTTGGGCAAAAGGACTTTTACTTGGGCACACACGACTAAAACGAATTGCTTGTAGCCTTGGATATAAAATGCTGAAGAGCCTACTTGACAAAAGAACTAAACTGCCATTACTAAACAAAAAACGATTATACACTACCCTAATTGCCCCAATTTGGACCTACGGACTAGAACTATACGGGACAGCAAAGAATTCAATCCTTACAATTCAAAATCTTTCGAACAATAGTTGATAATCCATTCTCCGTCACCAATAACCATGACCATTATCCACCACTATCCACTCCGAACTCAACATACCTTACGTCCCAATCCTGGCCCAGTTCTTGTACAATAAATTCCACTCCAAACTTAATTCACAACCTGACCAGCTGAACCCTTCCTTCCAACCCTCAAAGAAGGCTGAAGCGCAGGTGGCCTCGCGACCATCTGATTTTGTAACTTTGGCAACTCTAGGGACTATTGCTGAGTTCACGCCTTAATGGTCAATATAGACGACTTTCACTGTTTGGTGGCCGTTCAAATCAATCGTGCCAGACATTTTCAGCGCAGCATACAAGATTGCGTATGGGCATCTGTATATGGATATCATTGTAAATAACATTGGGCACTCTCGACACGACACGCAAGAATGGCACAATTACACCGAAGACAAACACTTTGAGCCCTGAAGATGAATTCAATAAAGATCGAAACGTTGGCACGATAAAGAAAATGTTTTTCTGAAACCTACATCACACCAAGACCGCATCTCACGATTTCTAAATAAATAGTAAATAAAATAATTTTTGCTTGTTGCATTTTGTATACAGTTGTAAAGTGCATAAATTGAAAAGCTCGGACACGAGTCTAATATCTTTAGATCTAGTGTCAACATAAAAAGTTTCATTAAAATCTGTAAACCCTCGTCCGTAGGGGTTGGTAAGTTGGACGGGTTAGTTTTTCATTGAGCGATTAAAACTGGGATATTAATATTTATTATAATGCTGCTGATTTTAATTTTAATTTAATGTACATTTTTTCATTAAGAGAGTAACTTTTTATCTTTTCATACAAAAGTTCAACGAACGTTTATCAATCAGTCTAGCTTTTGATTAGGCTCAGAAGTTGAACTATGTTTGTACTTACGTGGCCATGGTAGAGTGACGGTTTTCCATTAAGCTGCGAACAAATTCGTGGGCGGTGTTCGAAATGAAAGTAGTTTAAAAGAATTACACGTGGCTTCAATTTAAAAGCGGCCGAAAGTTAAAAAAAAAGCGTTTTGTACCCCTTTTTAAATTGGACGGGGAAATGGTAGAAACGGGACGGTAAATCGCCGGGGAGTGCCGCCCTCGAACAGGCTCACTTTATAAAAATGCGACACCGAGTTTTACAACATTGTAAATTAAAAGGGCATTATCTACGCGTTCCTCGTGATTACGTTTAACAATAAATGACGTCAAATTGGGCAAACACCTACTGTCTACTTTTATACACTCGTGTTGAATAAATATACACAGTTGAAACCAATATATCATTTCAATTGGGGCCCTCTTATCGCTTTGTAATCGTATTTTTCAACAACAATGGCAGTTTCGTGTTGTGGGGAATTTGCAGCGTCCGGTTTTCTTCCGCCACTCCGTTCCACTATTTAAACTCTTAAAATAAACGATTCAAAAAAAGAATTCAGCAAAAAAATAAATACTTTTACAACTTCGAATTAGTCATTAATAGAAAGTTAATTATAAATATTGAGATTGATTCTTTAAAAAAAAAAGGTGGATATAGTGAGAACAGGCTGGCAGGAAGATCAGAGATCTAATTCGCTCACTTTCCTTTTATTGGTAGTAAAGCAAAACAACTCTACCAACAAACCGGTATAAATATTTTAGATTAAAGCAAACGTCGTGATCGTCGGACATACAGTATTGAGATGAACCTCAAAAATCATTTAAGCGGGAACACACTTACCCGACGCAAATCCAAAGTCCATTTTTCCATAAGATTGTCACCCCCGTGCACATCTGCCCGATGCCACGCAACGCTCCCCTGCTCTACGCTACGCGATCCCCACTGTCCAGATTTTCGTCGGGTACCATCGAGTACAGTCAAAAACAAAAGAACCGGACACTCCTATTTTTAGTTCAAAATACATGTATTATTGTCGTTATATTAATTATAACATACTTAGTTTAATATAAACCAAATTAACTGAGATCAAAAATTCATTAGTTTTTATTTGAAAAAAACTTAATTTTAATGGTTTGGTAGAAAATTAATCAAAACACCGAAATACCATTTTTTGATACAATGAATTTAACTAACAATTTATTATACGGTTTTACTCCTAAAATTTAACTAACAATTTATTTCATGGTTTTGCTCATAAAATTACACCGTTTTTGTCGAGTAGCGTCAGAATAAGACACTCATATTTTTTGTAGTTTATTTCAAACTATGTATGTATAATTTTGTCGTTATATTAATTAGAAAATTCTTATTTTAATGTAAACTAAATTAAACGAGATCAAAAATTCATGAGTTTTTATAAAAATTATTTAATTGTGATGATCAGGAAGACAATTTATGAAAACACCGGAATAACTTTATTTAAAACAATCAAGTTTAACAAACAATTTATTAGATGGTTGTGCTCATAAAAGTTAACTAACAATTTATTATACGGTTTTACTCCTAAAATTTAACTAACAATTTATTTCATGGTTTTGCTCATAAAATTACACCGTTTTTGTCGAGTAGCGTCAGAATAAGACACTCATATTTTTTGTAGTTTATTTCAAACTATGTATGTATAATTTTGTCGTTATATTAATTAGAAAATTCTTATTTTAATGTAAACTAAATTAAACGAGATCAAAAATTCATGAGTTTTTATAAAAATTATTTAATTGTGATGATCAGGAAGACAATTTATGAAAACACCGGAATAACTTTATTTAAAACAATCAAGTTTAACAAACAATTTATTAGATGGTTGTGCTCATAAAAGTTAACTAACAATTTATTACAAGATTTTGCTCAAAATAATGGATGAAGAACAAAAGAAGCGTTGCGATTGTGATACTGATTTTTGATACACGCTGCGTGACTGTACGTGGCGTGCGCTTGACGTCGCATAGATGTACACACCCACCAAAACGTGTCAAGGCGTCGGGTAGAATTGGTAGCGTAGCATCGGGTAAGTGTGTTCCCCACATCATCCAATACGACGCACACACGGCCGGGCAAAAACGAGGAGAAATCACACGGACACATCACCTTTCCTCAGTGTCCACCGAAGAACACCTCAAATATCACTCCAGGACACGAAGGAATTTTGAGTAATGAATAAGCAGACAAACTGCGAGACAATATATCGGCCTAGAATTTATAATTGAGATAACAAGACCAAATAGACGCCTCCGTATCAGAATATGTCCACAAAAAATAAAATAAGAAGTGGACAAACTCTAGAGTTGGACATAGCGAGCTTATTAAAAAAGAACTCTCACCAAAACTGTATATTTTTAATATAAAAGCATGGATATGTATAATGATTATTTGAAGATCGTGAGGTGCGGTCTGTTGTGACGTAGGTTTTAGGAAAACATTATCGAGCCAACGTTTCGAGGTTTATTGAGATCATCTTCAGAGTTCAAAGTGTTTGTTTTCTGCGTAATTGTGTCATTCTTGTTTGCCGTGTTAAGAGTGTCCCGCCAGGCAAGCTTTCTTTTAGTACGCTGAGGTTATTATATATCAGTGCAATTTTGTAACGTAGGATACGAATATATTAGGTAGGCTCATATTAATTAGAGTTTAAAACGTAACAAAAACCAAAAAATATTTTTGTTGGAAATAAAACCAATTCGGATGTATCTTAAGCACCCTTTAAAGCCCTTAAATAGGAATAGAAGAATACTTCATAAGAATAAAAAAAATTAACATTTCTTTTATGGACGTATAGCTTTTTTCCGGAGAAATTAACCATTTTTTAACTTCAAATGAACCAATTATAATTTCAAATGAACCCCTTCTTTAAAACATTACAAACAACTCGGATATTGTATGAAATGTAGGTAGCCACCAAAGCAAAATTCCTGTATATATAAAGTGGGAGGTTTATGGATCGAAAAACAGTTGAGGTCATCGCCTGCGCGTGTTTTCTTTCTTTTTCTGTCTTTCACGCGTATTTTAGTTTAAACTGCGGCCATTTGAGCGTCATGATCTCGTTATTGACTCTCAGCTTATCTGTAGACTATGTCGATATGCTAAAACGGTGCCTCTCATTTGCAACTCAGGTTGTCAACTACAGAATAGACATTACCAGAAACATAGAAGTCAGGATCACATCCACTCCCCCAGAGTAGTCGATATTCCTCGGGGCGGGGCTAAATAACCCATTCCATTCACGCTAATAAATTACATTATTCAATTAAACTAACATAAACACAACACCCGATACAAACATACAAGTCTGGTCACATCCACTCCCCCAGAGTAGTCGATATTCCTCGGGGCGGGGCTAAACAACCCATTCCATTCACGCTAATAAATGACATTCATTCAATTAAACTAACATAAACATAACACCCGATACAAACATACAAGTCTGGTCACATCCACTCCCCTAGAGTAGTCGATATTCCTCGGGGCGGGTTAAATAACCCTTTCCTTTCGCGCTAATAAATTACATTCATTCTACTAAATTAACAAAAATATTGGGCTCTACCCTATGAAAATTAAAATTTCTAAAGAACCGTACGAACATTAATTACATTTAAAATGAAAAATTATATAAAATAAAATATAAAAATAAAGGATTATTGTTTTAACTTAAAAATCATGAGAGATTGTAGTTTTTAAGAGCCCAATTATTTTACATTTGAAAAAATCTCAAATCAAAACAAGAATGATTTGTTTCTACACTAAAGTGGCTCTTGTTTTCGGATGAGTCTGTTTGATTTTTTTGCTTTAGATCTTCTGACAACCAAGAAAAAGTTTTTTCACTCAGGTGAAGCTATGCAGGTGGTGGTGTTATGGTATGGGCAGGCAGTTCTATGGTCGGTCGCGAAAACATCTTCATCGAGGCTTCCCTAACGGCTGCCCGATACATTAAAGTTGTGATATCATAAGAAGTTGTTCCTTTTATGCCACCAATTAGCGAGGTTTTGTTTTTAATCAAGATATTCATGCTAGGATCGTTGGAACTTGGATATCTATCTTTTCTTTGTTGGTTTTTCAGTAAAGCTTCATTCTAACGTTCTGGTGGTTTGATTTTTTTAAGGTAGATCATTTTTAAGTTTCGAATTTGTTTGAGCGATGGTTTTAAGTTATGCAGACAAAAGAGAAATCGCGGTTATTTGAAGAGAGGGAGTAAGATTATCAAGGGTATTGGTAGGAGGTTGCGAACAAGAATTCCTGTCCCGCCATGGGCTATTCCATCGGGATAGTTAGTCGTGCAATTTGAGTAGCCTGGGATGTAAAATCGCGATCTGTCAGTAAAATGAGTTTCTGGTATCGTATGGCTAGTCCGTTGGCGTTTCATAGGAGCAGAGTAAGAGAGTTGTTGAGTGAGGGCCATTTAAGAAGAGAGTTTGGGAAGGAGACTATTTACAACTGTAGTTAATTTGAGCAATAGTGGTGCTGTTTTGCATGACTTATGTGGGAGTAATGGGAACAGGACAGGAGACTGAAGGCTGAGTGAACCTCGCGACTAACCGTGCAAATGGTACGTTATTATTGAAAAGAGATGATCTAGTGTAAGACGGATCATTGCTGTTGAGGTGTCTGCAAAGTTCTCCCTCGAATGGAAATCTTTATACTGGATACATCCTTTATAGTTGGCCGGATGCTGTCCATTACACAGTGCGGTAGTTTGCTTCCTGCAGTCTTGAGTGGAGTGATCACCAGCACATTTAACACACTTTGGTTTGTGATGGCAATATCCTCTTCAATGGCCGTATTCTTGACATCTTCGCACTGTCCTATCAGACACTGTTTAGAGAGTTGTTGAGTGAGAGCCATTTAAGAAGAGAGTTTGGGAAGGAGACTATTTACAACTGTAGTTAATTTGAGAAATAGTGGTGTTGTTTTGCATGACTTATGTGGGAGCAGTGGGAACAGTGAACACTCTTCGAGCTTAACTCAGTAACAGAAGGTCTCAATATCGAAAATGTTTTTATTGTTTGGTTTCGGCTCCAGGTCCACGACGAACAGTGGTCATGTCTGTTTTGTGATCGAGTGTTTCACTGGCGATACGTTCCTTAAAGAATGAATTATTTCCATTAATTCTTCTATAATGCCATTGAGTGGCACACTTTGGTGAAAGTTGCGAATGGCCACTCTGTATGGCTTGTCGTCTTGCAGTTCGAAGGTACGGTAATCAGCATTATATTCTTTATTGTATTTCATTATACTTCTGTATCTCTCTACTGTTTCCACTACAAGGTTAAATCGCGAGCTTTTGTGAAGGTTTCCCTACAAATATAGAATCCTCCATCGCAGAATGGATCCAACCAAAACAAAAGGAAAAATGGATAAACTCTAGCGGCGCTAGACATAGTAAACGAATGATGAAACAACCCTCACCGAGACTGGCAAAAACACTGCTACAATTGGAGAGGGTCAAACTCAGAGGAGTGGTAGGACTACTAACCGGTCACTGGTATCTGAGAAAACATCTACACAACATGGGTATATACAGCGATGACCCCATTTGCAGATTATATAATGAGGAGGAGGAACCAGCCACTCATATCATCTTCGAATGCGAAGCAACAGCTCAATGGAGGTTTAACCTAACGTACGGAAAAAACTTAGCGAATTGCAGCAGCAACAGCCAAAGACCTGATACTTCTAAGAAGAAGGATTGAGTCTATTGACTGAACTGAGGAACTAGGAAGGTACAATAAGCCAGAAGGCTGCAGTGCCTGTGGAATACAAACCCCGCTTCCTAGCATCCTTTCCACCATACCATACCATACCAAGGTACGGTAATCAGCATTATATTCTTTATTGTAATGAAGGTTTCCCTACAAGCCGTAAAAGGGCACCAGGGAAAATAGCATATTACTTAACATTATTTACATACAGGTGGTTGATTATGTGTGGCTACTTTTGTTGCAGGTGGTGTCTCCATTTTAATTTGGCAATGATAAAGGGCCAAACGGATTATTGGTTAATATTCCCTGGAGAGCAATAACTACCGAACATTGAGATGAGGTCCTTGAGTACTACCAGCTGATACTTTAAATGTCGATAGTCTGGCTGGTGTAACGGTTGATGGTATTGAGAAGTAGCTTCCTGAATATTTCTTTTTGCTTCTTCTTTTACTTCTTTTTTCTTGGAAAAAATTGTCCATTTCTGAAGTTCTTTTTGGTGCGTTTACCGAGGATGTCGATGACTAGTGTAGTGTCGGCTCCAATATCTACATTTTGGTTAATTTTTTGTTTTGTTTTTGTTCAAGAGAATCGTCCCTCAGTGCAATCGTGCAAAATGAAAAATAATAAATGATGAGTAACAAATAAGTATAGTTTTGCACAATATAAGGTGCTTAACAAAGGTCGATCGGCACGAAGAAACCCGAGGATGAACTCTGCTCGAAAACGCCGTAAGCTCTGGAACTTCATTCGTTTTTGAACTTTATTTTTTGATTTTTTTAGCAATAATAGGCACGTACAACTTTTCTGGGCGCTGAATATATTTCGAATACAATATTTTATTCATTGTTTACGTAGAACATTTTTAGTAAAATTGAGTTTTATTTTGTTATATAATTTTTTAGTTAGCTATAGCTTACATTTGTCTTTAAAAATATCCAACAAATAACAAAAAATAAAAATTATAACGATTGGAAGTACTTACTATAACAAAATAAAGTGACTACTTTTTTGCCTTCCAGTGTATATTTAATTTTAAATGATTTTTACTTTACCTTTAATTAATTTTCATACGGTGTGATATTTCTCCATCACCCTTTATACATTCAATATAATAAATACATTCACTCTCAATATACACAGAAGGAAAGACTAAACGAAATATCTACCAAGTGCACAATAAAACAGCATTGTTATCACCAAAGGTCTGAACTGGGGATCCAAAGACTCATCGAGTCTAAGCACAAATCTCATATCGGGTGCCATTCCTACTCGCTCTCTATAAGGAGCCCATCTATATTACGAATTTGTATAAAAGTAATTGGGCTCTAAACTATAAAAATAAAGGATTTTCTTACAGATTTTTAAATAAATGTAAAATGGGCTCTTGTCTAAAATATCATAAGAAAATTGATTGCAATTAAAATTAAAACTTATATAAAATAAAAACAAATAAATCGTTCTATTAATTAGAGAATTGTTTAAAATATAAAATAATTGGTCTACAAAATAATTCATTTTTATTTTTAAAAAATCTCGAATTAATATAAGCATCATTTATTTTTTATTTAATATTATATACCTTAAATGTAAATAATTTTCGCACGATCATATAAGAGCCCAATTACTTTTTTTACATGCTTATATTTTCTTCTTTAAAGAAAGGGTTAATTTCAAATTAAAAAGCGCTTTGACGGAAAAGGCTCAGGGTTGTTTTTTGGATGTCCAGTGTTCCAATAAAAAAATCCAAATTCAACGTTATTAAAACTGTTGTAAAGCAGCTACATTTCATGTTTCAGGTTATGTGAACAAGGTTTGGATTTTAGTTTATTATAAGTGAGAAAAAACTTCAAACATTTTACTTTCTATTTCGAATTCATAATTATTTACTAAGGCGAACTTTGCGTGTTTGAAAGTTTTGAAAAGTTCCGCTAAGTTTCCTGTGGATTTGTGAAGTATTTTTAAAGTTATTACACCTTTAGTGATTTTCGACAAAAAACCGATGGTGAAAATTCGAGAAAATATATTATTTTTGATTTTCCTAACCGTTTGTATTCATTTAGGGGTTTTTGGGGGGTGCAGAAGACGATTATGAAGTTGGTTTTTGCTAAACAAAATATTTTTACTTATTTTTGTCAGTCATGGTATCGTAGAAATGGAAATAAATAATTTGCGGTCTAGCGCCTTAACAACGGTTAAATTAAATAGCAAAAAATCCAATCCCATTTAATACAATACTTTATCTGATTTTATATTAAGTAGCGTAAAAATTACGTGATTAATTAATTAATCAATTACGTGCCATTTAATTTCAAGACTGTGGCATTAGTTATAAAATGAAAATTTTCTTATAGACCAAGGCACACACATTCCTTAGTATTATATTTCATACATTGAAATGAACATCTTAAAAAAATAAATAAATCAAAATAAATATGTGTTGGTAAAAAAAATTATGCACAAGATTTAAATTTTAAGGAAACATAAAAAAATACATGTAAATGACAACAACAATAATAACATCGGTTACAAAAGACATCCATCCGTTCCTAAGCATGCGTTTACGTGTTAAAAAAAAATATAACTATAAACAACCGTGCATTTTATATTAAGGTATAATATAATTTACTCACACTAGGCAAGCCGCAATGATTTGTGACTTTGATACTCTATTTTCACCTCCTCCCCCTGGACGGAATATGCCCATTAACAGACTGAAAGAAAAAAACTTTTTCAATCCCTTCCATCAAAAGTTGTAATGCAAATAAGATGATTAAACAAAAGCAAAGTAGTTTCTGAATATTAAAATACATATACAATTCCAATAAAATTTGTTGAAACCTGTTTTTTTTTTTTAGATATGTCGGACGTAAAATTGCGTTCGAGGCACTAAGACCATTAAGACCCGAGTCATCCCGACCAGAAGGAATAAAAGGCACCGGCGTTTGAAACTATAAAAACGAAATGTATTTGTCCATTTCCCATTTTATGGGTGCACAATTAGCTAAGAGGCCTTCTGAAGAACACGTCTCCAAGTTTACCCGAATGGCTTTCTTCTAAAACCGCACTCTTCATTCAATGTCAGTCTCACGAGCAAACACTGGGATGTAGCAAAGTGGAAGACGAAAGTAACCCTTCCCCTAAATGTACATCAGCCCGTTAATGGAGGGATTTAGTGGAGCCAGACCAATCTTCACTGATGGACTAATTTTGTTATCGATATATAAAAACATAATAGGCTTATTTTGATGAACACGGAGCAAAAGTTTCTTGCGTACCCACACGATGATCTATGACCTGACAAACTCTCCCAACAAGTTTCCTGCCTACTCGGTCTACAACGCTCTCCAATTCCTGCAGCCAATAAGATCTTTTGGTCAATACTGGACCAAATACACGAAAAACACGCGATTTAGACGAACTGGATGGAATTTCAGGCCCAAAATGCTGAAAAGACCGTTTGACTGAAGTTTTAACTGAACGCCTTGTTCTTCTTCCATTAGTTCTCATTGAGTCAGCGTTTCCCAGGATAACATTCTTGCTGCCTTACTTTATCCGAGAAGGAACAGAATAGAATTATTACATGTAGAGAATTTAGTGTAAAGAAGGCACGTCGACATTCCGCATGACCTATGTGCAGCTTTGGAACAGGTCGTTGATCACATATCTCAAAGTCATGAATATTTTTCACTTATATAGATATTTGTTATTACATGTTATTTGAATTGATGTATTGGATCTTCTTGAGGTCATTTTATTTGTTAGAATGTATTTATTAGCGCGAAAGGAAGGACCAGAGCCCCGACCCTCGAGGAGCATCGTCCCTCCGGGGCAGTATGAATGAAGTCTGGTTTGTGAGTGTAATGTATTAGCGTGAATGAAGGAGCTTCTTCCTCAATTACCCATTCGAGTATTCTGGGACATTGTGAACGTAATTTATTAGCGTGAATGGAGAGTTTTCTTTTTCAATTACACAGAAGAATATCGAGTACTTTGGGACATGTGAATTCAATTTATTAGCGTGAATGGAAAGACTTCTACCCCGATTATCCAACGAAATATCGAATAATCTAGAACAGTGTGGATGAAATCTGGTGTGTGAATGTTATTTATTTGCGCGAATGGACCCCCTTCTTCCTCAATTATCCAGAGGAATATCGAGAATACTGGGGCACTGTGAATGTAATTTATTAGCGTGAATGGAAGAGCTTTTTCCTCATTTACCGACAGGAAGATCGAATACTCTGGAGTAGTGTGCATGTTATTTATTAGCGCGAATGGTTCACCTTCTTCCTTCCCAAATTACCAAGAGGAATGAGGAGTACTTTTGGGCTGTCCGAATGGTGGTGGAATGTTATGTGTTGTGTTGGAACTGGTGCTTGAATGTTAATTATTTGCGAGAAAGGAGGGATTTCTTACCCAATTAGCCAGAGGAATATCGAGAACTCTGGAGCAATATGAATAGTAATTACACCACCATGAAATATACTACCTTAACATTCAATGCCTTATAGTCATAAATGTTAATCTTCTTATGGGTCAATACATTTTTAAAGTTCAAAGGAACGTTTTCAATGACACCTGGAGTGAAGAGTCCTGTTGGTAATTAATTTAAATCAGATCAAAACCTGTTTAAAAGTCACAACGCGAATCGACGGTCAATAGATTTGACAAAATTCTTATCATTTGTGTCAAGAAAGTGAAAAATGGTGGGTTTAATTTGAAAATAAAACGGAAAAACCACAAAAACCGCACTGATCTTTTTTTTCTGTACCCGGTTTAAATTTGTTTAAAATGTCTCAAGCAAAATTGGAAGAAAAATGCTTTACATAATGACTATTTTTGTATTGTGATGTAAGGTAATTTTTGTGACCTGACGTTGGCCATTGTGTAAGAGATTGATGGCCCATTTTTTTTAATATGGGGATTCTATCATGTGTGATAATCGTTAAGAGATTTTTATTTTCTTTTACTATTTAAAAAGATTTAGGAGCTAATTTTACAGCATAGATATAAGAAATACCCCAAGGGTATTGTGTACTGTCCAAGTATGTTATTTCTATTTGGTCATTTGTATTCTTTTTAACAAACGTCGCTCGATCGCTAATATTATGAAAACAAACACGGGTGATATAACGGATTAGGAATGTACCAGAGAAAATAAATAACAGGGTTCGGCGTTCTTTTCCTCTATTGAGACCGTACAACAGATAATCTTACTAGGATAAGCAAAACCGTAAGATCGAGCAGCTCCGGACCGAAATAGTCAACAGATTTCTCCTGAGGTCAGTAAAAAAGAGTGGATTTAGAATTTTGTATTAGTAGTTTGGATGGATGAGAAAAAGCGAAACGGTGCGACTGTTGTGTCAAAGCGGTGTTATGAAATGTGTACTCACACAATTGAGTGAGGTCGAAGCACGTGCGAAGCCCACGCCGGACTCGGGTCGGGACGACTACTCAGACGGAAATTACTCGGAGGTATGCAGCCGTGCGTGGATGCCGGCCAAGTTTCGCGGACGACAAAAGCAACGGACGTAGGATTACGCACGTAAGTATTATTAGACGTACACGTCACATTGACTCACCGGCGTATTTATTGCGGGCTGAAAAACCGTCACTTTAAACTAAAAAGTCGAGGGCCGACGTCAAATGACATCGTTTCTCCGATCCCTCAAATTGAGCTGCGCCTCTGGTTATTCTACCTAAAGATTTCAAAATGAACCGGCAAGTATCACAGATGACACAAGGGTTAGAGTCGAGGAAAGATAAAAAACGCACGAAATAATAAAGGTGCGTTCGATGTCGCAATGACTAGTCAGTCATACATACTTCCTCATCATCCTGTTCAGCCTATTCTCCGTTATTCCATTAATATTTCCGTCATAAGTGTCACGGATGTGCAAAAAAACATTTTTTTGACTTATTATTATTTTTTTCAAACAGGAACTAGGACGCCTGAACAAGTTTTAATCATCGGTCAGGCGTTTCTGTGCGTATTTTTGCGTCAAATTAACTCTATTTAACTTCAAATTAACCCTATTTTAATTTCAAATGAATCCTTTCTTTAAAGTGATAAGAAACCCAAGATATTGTGTAAAATGTGTATGTAAATTAAAATTCCTGTTTATTGCAATTTCTTTTAAATATAGATTAATTGGGGTTTTAGAAACTCTTTATAAAAATTAATTGCAATAAAAATTAAAAATTATATAAAATAAATATAAAAATAAAGCATTCTTCTTGTCATTTGAGAATTTAAAAGAATATATGGATGGATAATATATCTTAAATATATTTTTGTAAATATTTATATTTTAAGAAAATCTCGAATGCCATTTATTTGTTTGTAAATTAAATTTATATAACTTTTAATTTGAATTGTGATTATTGTCTTATGGCTTTTTAAGGGCCCGATTATTTTGTATTTAAAGAAATATCGCAAACATAGATAGGCAGAAATTTGATTAAGATATATCATACCATCTCGTAAGTTTTTAATGCTAAAGAGTTCATTTCTTGTTAAAAAAGGTGTTTTAGAAATTAAAAAAGGGTCAATTTTTTTTAGGATGGCAGCAGCAGAGGTCATATCAACCCTCGGGGTGCCGGTGTTTTTGAAAAAAAAACCATTTGTAAATATGTAGGGTTCGAATGCAGGGCCGCTGGATTTGAACCCGGGACCTTTACCTTACAGTGATGAGCACCCTGTCAACGCCTAAACCGTTGCGCGCCCCAATTTGTAATTGTAAGATTAATTTGAAGTTGAAAAAAAAAATCAATTTGAAGTTTAAGAAAGTTAATTTAAAATTAAAAAAGACCGGTTGGAAGTTAAAAAGGGTTAATTTGAAATTAAAAAAAAGTTTAAAGGTTATCTCAAATTAATAGAAGAATCATTTAATTTTATATCATGTTATCTCAAATTACCGGAAGAATTATTTATTTTTATATTTAGTTTCATATAATTTTTAATTTTATTTGAAATTAATTTTACGAGGCCTTTTATCAGACCTATTATTTTTAATTACAAAATCCCAAATATTTAGCAATTTTACTTTACATGCTTATATTTTATATCATCGTCTAAGTTTGTTAAATCCTGAAAAAAAGGGTTAATTTAAAATTAAAATGGATTAATTTGAAATTGAAAGAATTAACTTGAAATTAAAAAAAGGCTAATTTGTGTATTAGAAAATTAAAAAGGGTGAATAGAAATTAAACATAGCTTAATTTGAAGTTAAAAAAGGGTAATTTTAAATCAAAAAGGGTTAATTAGAAATTAAAAAGGTTAATCCGAAATTAAAAAGTTATTTGATATTAAAAAGGGCTAACTTCATATGCTAGCCATGGATGGAGTGTCAACTTACGAGTATCCTTCCGGTTTTCTCAAAAACTACTCAGCTCTACTAGTTTTTTAAGGAGAAAAATTTGAAACGTGTATTTTAAAGCCTTTATCCGCGAGGCCCAATGGTCAGGAACGACGTCAATGACAGTTATTACTTTACTTACTAGTAAGTTCAATAAACCGACAATCCTCGATTTATCATGGTATTCAAAGAAAAGTACAAACAATATTTTCATGGAACTGTTTTTCAAAGGATGAAATTGGAGAAAAGTGTAAGCTGAAAATTCTTTGAAGTAAAACAATAAATAATAATTTAAAACTATTTCGGTTGCTTTGCTTGTTTAAAAAAATCCGTTTGTCGTTAAAAGACTGGAGGCCGGTGACGAGAGGTGTTGGGATTTATTAATAAACACTTTCCTCCTTGGCAGGATTAGTCCCCCTCGCAAAAACTCGTGTCGGGGACCTACGCTGAGCTATCCGCGAGACATTACATCTAGAAAAGACAAACCTTATAATGAAATATTAATAAATTTGAAACATTATTATCAGCCAAAGAGATTAATTTAAAACCCACACGTCATCCAACTTCCTACAGAACCATCAGTTCCTATTTTAGGGCCCATCAGACAATGGATTAACAATAAGTCCTCCGTTCAATACGAATGTAATCCGGGACGGAGGCATATTCATCGAAAGACCATCGCGGAAACTGCTGGCACAACTACTAAATCTAGGACGTGTTAAGACTAGAATTGGAGTTGGACTGCTGACTGAACACTGTAGACTCCGAAGTCATATAGAGAGAAACGGAATCAACCCTGTGAAGGTTTTGCCAGGAAGAAGAAATGAGAGCAGAACATCTTCTGTGGGTGAGAAGGCTGCTGGCTGAGATACTCCTGAGAAAGGAAAAGCCCTGGCTTGAATAGAACCCTTGATAAAGCTTTAGGATTTGGTAAAAAGCTTCACTATCAAAAATTCCCAAATGGTATTCCCTACCGTCAGTTTGGTTTTGGCAGATGTTAATCAACAGTCCCTTGAGTGGGGGAAGTGGTTCAGGTCTTTTCGGTCGCATTTGACACGATTCAAAGGCATCCTTCTATCTTCTAATCCTTCCTATTTTCTCTGACCGGTATTTCCGAGACATTTTAATTCCTCTAATTTAATTTCCTCAAGGGAACATTCTGGGCCCCACAATTGACCAGAGTATAAGGCATGCTGTATCATCCTCAAAACACCAACGTTGCAAACGATTCAGGGATCCTCTTAAGCAACTTCTTTCCGTTTCCACTCCAACCGTCAACACCTCACACTACTGGAAGCCCTTATCCTTTACCACAAAAAATCTTCAGTTTAGGGTAGTCCCACCTCCCACCTGCGGGCCAGGAATCTAGTCAAGACGCTTTTCATCAACCATCCAACATCACCGTTGTGGTCCTTATTTCTACCTCAATTGAGTTCAAGCAGTATTGTTCAGGGGCCTTTATGTGACCCAGGCTTTTGATAGCGTTTGACACCCAGGCAAGGCCGGCTTAGCTCAGGGTCATTCTTCTCCACTTACTGACTTTTATTCGTATACGCAGGGTAGCGTTCTTAGCCCCAACTTTACCAGGAGTTGCTGACATCATATACCATCCACAAAACACCTTGACCATTGAAGGCTATAAAGCGTCCCTCTCAACCAAGTGCTGTCCTTTTCACTTTAAACCTTCAGCAACACCTCACACAAAAAAGATCTCCAGTTTACTTCCATCATATCCTATTCCAAACTACAGACATTGTCCCCAACCCACGACTGGTCGCCGACAGTCTGACTCATAAAATCTCAAGGAGTTATCGACGAGACGGTACCTTTATGTTAGACCTCCCATGAACAGTGGCTTTATAACACATTAGTGAAGATGGATATGTAGTAGCGGACTGGAAGTGTATGGATCAGCCGCATTCAAACCGTCCGTCCATAAGTAAGAACATTCTTCCTTCTAACATACTAACTCCTTCGCATCCTCAATGACCGGTCTGATTTAGGGACGGCGTCTCCCCCAGACTACCTTATATTTAGTGTGTTCCTCAGGGGCGCGTCCTGAGCCCGACACTTTACCAGGAGTATACAGCTGTATCTCATCCTGTGACCCCTTGTAAAGACTATATGGAGTAGTAGAGAAGTGGCGTATCTAGCCGATAGTCGTGGGTCGAATCCCGCTCGTGACACTGATTTTTTTATCTCAACTAAAATCCTTAATTAATTGAAAGATTTTAATTGGTCAAGCGGACCACGAAAACTAGTGAATGATTCTAAACTAAATTCGATTTTGATAATACAGTGACCACTGGAAGAAATTAAATTTAATTAATGTTTTATTGATTTCTATCATGAGGCATAATATTATCGAATTTACATAAACATAAGCATCCATCTCCCACGAAAAGAAAAAAACCTACCACAAAAGTTTTTTGTATTAATAAAATGTAAATAGGTTGATTAAAAAAGAGGCTTGTTTGAAGCACCCCAGTGATTTGGAAAAGGTGGACCAATAACTATTTTTAAAAAAAATCCAGTGTCGTTTACATGCATAATGCATGAAGTTTAGAAAGTAAGGGAGAAAGAACGAACTTATAAAAAAGACTAGGGTAAACAGAAATTGTATAGAACTACTGGTTATTCCCTCAGATCCAAGAGAAAAACCATCCAATTATTTGGATTATGATCATGGTATTCACAGACATTCGGAAAAAGCTAATCTAAGTTTTTTCGTAATTGTTTTGTTTTAATTATTAAACAATATTAAAACGAGGATGGACTTTTCATTAATCCGAAGACAGGAAAGCCTGGAAGTATTCGACAAAGATGCCTCCGATCCAACTTTTTAATTGAGTTAAAAATCCCCAGGGTTGCAACAACTTCATCCACTCCCAGTCCCCTGCCCTTAATTAAATAGCACAATTAATCAAATAGGGAAAAGAATTTTTCAGGATTAATTTTGAAAAATCTTCCGTATCGAAGAAATCCGAGAGATGTTATCGAAATTTCAGTCCTATGTTACACCCAGAAAATAAAGGACTTTGTGTCTTTTAAAACTTTGCATTCATTATTTATAAACCCTAGTTATAAACAATAAGAGAATTTGATATTTTGTGAAACGCAAACCTCAATCGG